ATTTCTACTTTCCCTTATCTTTATCAATTTCTCTAAGGTTCTTCATTCTACCCAAAGCCTATCCCATTAAATAAATATCTTATATAATATAAATATATCTTGATAAATAAATATCTTACTAAAAATATATAATCTTACCTTAATATATTTCTCCAAAGCCACGCGCTAACCAGACACATATCCTTCGATAATAAATAGACTTTCAGATATATTTTATCAGTTCTTTAGTATGTTTCTTTCCCCTCTGTCAGCCTCCGCTAGAGAGTCAGCGGGTGTCAGCAAAGTCAGCGAAGTCGGCGAAATCAGCGGTCAGCGATGTCAGCGGTGTTAGAGAAGTCAGCGGGTGTCAGCAAAGTCAAAGAAGTGTCAGCAAAGAGTTAGTCAGCGAAGTGCAGAGTGAAGTTAGCGAGAAATCAAAGAAGTCAGCGGGAGTCAGCAAAGTCAAAGAAGTCAGCGAGTGTCAGCGAAGTTAGAGAAATCAAAGAAGTCAGCGAGTGTTAGCGAAATCAAAGAAGTCAGAGTGTAGCAAGTCAGCGGGTTCAGCGGTGTCAGCGGCGGCGGTGCGCGGCGGCGGCGGCGGCGAGCGCCGACACCAAACCCGCGATTAAAATCCCCATTAAATATGCATGGCCGATCCCTATCGCGACTGACATCATCTGTAGTTTATTTGTCGTCACTCCCAAGGCCGCATTACCCGGTATTTTATTTCCGGCCTGAACTATCGATGACCGCCATAACCGTTCAGGCGCCGGAACATAAACTGTTTTTATGGCCTGATTCCCAACATGAGCAGGAATTATAATTTGGGGCATTTTGGGGGCCGTGAGCGGGTGGCGTTGGGACGTACGTGTGTGTGTGTGTATTATGTCCCATATAAATGATATATATTTATGATTTATATTAACGTAAATAAAAACGTTCTCTGTCTGTCCTGTCTCTCTCTCTCTATATTGTGTGTATATGTGTGATATACATACATACATACATACACACATACATAGCTATAGACATACATACATACATACTATAGAGACATACATACACACACACACACACACACACACACACACCACACACACACACACACACACAGCACACACACACATACGCCATTTCCGCGTCGGCGCCCGTGCCCTCCGCGTTCAGCCCCCGTTGACATGCCCGGCGGATGCCCCTCCCCCTTCACACCCTCCCCCCCCCCTCCCAGACCTTACCCGGGCCAGAGGCGACCTGGCCTGACCTCCGCCCCGCCCCGCCCCTGACCTGACCCATCACCCGACCCCGCCGTGACCCCCGCTTAACTCATTAACTCGCCGCCCATCCCAGTGATTTTCGTCCGCGTTTCGCCACGGAGCGCGGCGGCGGCGGCGAGGCGAAACGGGGGCGTCGCGGACCTGAACGAAGGGTTGCGGAAAGGATCGAGGCTTTTAAATTGGATTAATCTGGATCTCTTGTGTATCGGCTGTCATGCGAGGCGGGAGGTCCTCGCCGCCCACGGGACCGCGCGCCCCTCGGAGAACCGCGGGCGTAAGTCGATCTTGTCCATCTATCGGCGTCTTTACACGGGTCGTGATCGATCGGCGAATCGCATTAGGGATTCGGCTTCGAACTTTAGCGGGAGAAAAATAAAAAAAAAACTTCGAAACAAATGTATGTTCTTATCGGGACACGGATCAAAATCCAACTGGGAGATGTGTGTAAAGCATCATTTATGCGCGTTTACGAAGAAGAAGAAGAAAAGGAAGATTAAAAGAACGAGAAAAGTTATACGCACACACATACACACAACAGACACACAACGCACACACACACACACACACGCACACACGCCAGCATGTGGATCTGAAAACAGAAACTGACCTCACCATCTGTTTACACGGAAACATCACGAAATTAACACCATATTCTCTCTCTCCCCTCCCCCTCCTCCCCCCCCCCCTCGTTGACCACTCGCACGGTCACTCTTCACCCTTTTCAGTATACAAGCACGCACACAATACATACATGCGTACATACATACGTACATACATACATATACATAACTACGTACACACGCACAAACAAACTCTCTCTCGCACACGCACAACATACACACACTCACACACACGCACACACACACACACGCACACACACACAACACACACACACACACACACACACACACACACACACACACGCACACACACACACACACACGCACACACACACACACACACACACACACACACACACACACACACACACACACACACACACACACTTCGAGCAATGACGAAGCAGATTCGCCAATCGCCCAAAAATACCCAGATAATCTCCAGACGACATTGAAAGACTTAAAAAAAAAAAAAATCTCACAAATTATACTAATTTACCTACAAAAAAAAAATCGAGTTTACACAGTCTGATGATACTGTACTCTTTCTCTTTTCTCTCTCTTCTCTCTCTCTCTCTGTCTCTCTCTCTCCTCTCTCTTCTCTCCTCTCTCTCTCTCTCTCTCTCTCTCTCTCTCTCTCTCTCTCTCTCTCTCTCTCTCTCTCTCTCTCTCTCTCTCTCTCTCTTCTCTCTCTCTCTCTCTCTCTCTCTCTCTCTCTCTCTCTCTCTCTCTCTCTCTCTCTCTCTCTCTCTGCTCTCTCTCTCTTCTCTCTCTTCTCTCTCTTCTCTCTCTTTCTCTCTCTTTCTCTCTCTCGCTAATTTTAATCCCGTCGCTATTAATTTTTATCGACATATTTTCGGGCGGGTCACTTGGAGGGAAAAAAAAAAAATAATAATCAGCACAAACGCGTCATTTTTTCCGGTTGTTATTGCGCCGCTCTTGTTCATTATCGTCCGAACTGCCAATGATATATCTCTTTTTACCGGCCGTTTGATAATACTGATGTGAGCTGCATTACCGGCTTCTGAAATCATTGCCGTCGAATACATACATATTTTCAAACCCACGCGCGCCGAGACACGGACGCGTACATACGTGATTTGTGTACGTGTGTATGGATGTATATGTTTATATTTATATTGTCATATTATTCTTATAATATGTATATACGCATATTTTTCTCTCATTGTCTCTCTCTCTCTCTCTCTCTCTCTCTCTCTCTCTCTCTCTCTCTCTCTCTCTCTCTCTCTCTCTCTCTCTCTCTCTTCTCTCTCTCTCTCTCTCTCTCTCTCTCTCTCAATATAAACACATAATCCGCCTCTTTTGAGTCAAATCCGCGCTCGACAGGAGCTAATGAAGTCCCTTGTAAATCCCACAAGTCTGGAATCCCCCACGACAAAAGCCTGGTGGAGGAGGAGGGGTGAGGGACGCCCCCCCCCACCACCACCACACCTCTCTCTCTCTCCCTCCTCCCTCCCTCCCTCTCTCTCCCTCTTCCCCTCTTCCCTTCCTTGGCTAATCGTCTCAATCGCGGTTAATCCCTCTTAACTCTTTTGTCACCAGCATAAACAAGTGGACAAACTTTCTACCCCTTCTCTCTCTGTCTCTCCCTTCCCTCTCCTCTATCCTCCTCCCTCCCCTCCCCTTCTCCCTCTCCTCCCTCCCTCCCCCCTTCCCAATTCCTCTTCTACCCGACAGTCGAACATCAAAGTCAACACCGCTTTGGATAAGCATTAATCCGGTTATCATTAGTACTTATCCGATACTGCTCCGTAGGTGAAGCGAGAGGGAGGGTCCTTGGCCGTGGAGGGGAGGGGGGAGGGGAGGGGGGAGAGTCTAAAGGGGGGGTTGAGGGGAGGAACAGGGAAGGAAGGCGGTCGGTGGAGCACTTGTCCACCTCCTCCTTCTCCTGTTCTTCCTTCCTCCCTTCCTTCTTCGTCCTCATCCCCTGTTTCTTGTCGGTCCCCCTCTTCCTCTTCCTCTCCCTCCTCCTCCTCTTCTTCTTCTTCTTGTCCTCCTCCTCTTCCTCTTCTTGTCCTCGTTGTCTTCCATGACGTCTTGGCGATGGTCTCAACTCTTCCTTTTGATCTTAAACTTTTGCACTTTCCACTATTCGTTTCCGGTTGTTTACACTAACCCTTGTTTACACTTTGGGTTTTTTATTTTTTCTCTTTTCTTAGTTTTTTTTCTATCTATTTCCATTTACTCTTTTTTCTCTTCCCCCTTTTCTTTATCTTTCTATTTCCGAAAACAGATTTGGCAAGACCAAAATTTTTCTGTTTTCTGTTATTTCTGTTTTACTCTTATTTACTTTTTTTCTTTAGTAAAAATATATATGTTGCACATTTTATATATATATAATTGGTAATATCACAGCATCATTTAGCCTTTATATCTATAGATTTCTTTCAATCTCCTTCAATGTGCAACTTCATTTTTCAATCAACTTCAACAGAGACACTCCCCCAATTTGGAAAAAAAAAATCTAATCCCATCCCATTAAAAAAAAAAAAAAAAAAAATCTAAAAAAAAAAAAAAAAAATCTGTTGCTTTCAGTCACGTGACGAGGTTCCTGTTGACCTTTGACTCCGCCCACATCTCGTCGCCGCCCGCCCGCCCATTCGCAGGGCAGTGGGCGTAAGAGGGCGGGCCGTCGAAGGTGGGGAGGAGAGGAGGACGCGGAGGAAGGACTTAGAAAAAAAATAAATAAATAAACGAAGAGAGAGAGGAAAGGTGGAGAAGACAGAGATGGAAATCGAAAGGAGGAGATGAGAGAGAGAGAGAGAGAGAGAGAGAGAGAGAGAGAGAGAGAGAGAGAAGAGAGAGAGAGAGAGAGAGAGAGAGAGAGAGAGAGAGAAGAGAGAGAGAGAAGAGAGAGAGAAGAAGAGAAGAGAAGAGAGAAAGAGAAAGAGACAGATAGAGAAAGAGAAAAGAGACAGATAGAGAAAGAGAAAGAGACAGAGAGACAGATAGATTAGAGACAGATAGAGAAACCACCACACACAAAAACAAAGACCAAAAAAAAAAAAAAAAAAAATTCTCCAAAACCTCGTCCTCCACCCCACGTCCCCCTCCTCCCTCCGACCTCCTCCTCGACCCTCCTCCTCCAAAGGACCACGAGTCGCACCTGCTTGGAGAAGACGGCAATATCTTCATTGAAGGATTCCGAGGAGCACACATCCCCGCCCGCAACACCTGGCTCCCTGGGCGTGCACGTGGCCAGCTCGCACTTCTCGAAGATGAGAGCTAGAAGAGGGAATAGAGGATGCCTGCGAAGAGAGAGAGAGAGAGAAAAAAGGGTTATTTTTGTTGTATATAGGTTGTATATGAGTGTATAATTTTTTATTATTTTTAATTTTGGTTTTATCTTTATTTTATATTATTATTATTATTATTCTATTTTATTCTTTATTATTATTATTACTATTATTTATTTTATTTTTATCATTATTATTATTATTATTTATTATCTATTATTATTATTATTATTTACTGTTATCATCATCATTTTAATTATTATTAATTTTACTATTAAACAAATGCTGGGTAGTATTTTGAATATGTATTTTTTGTTTTTTAAAATGTTGGTTTAGAAAATTTTTCTTTTAAAATTGGTAGAATAAAAATGAAAACGTTTGTATTGTCGGTTAAGATTTTGAATATATTTTTCAGATGGTTGTCAAAACTAAAATAAAAATAAAATATATAGGTTGTGAATTTAATTTTTCTCTAAGTTCTTTCGGTTAAAAATTCAAATACAATTCTAAAACACATTGCAGATTATAACATTCAAAATATTCCTTAAAAAAACATTAGTTATGAAAAAATATATATCAGTTATATAATAAGATACTAATAACTTAAATACAAATGAATATATATATATATATATATATATATATATATATATATATATTATATATATATATATATATATATATATATATATATATATATATATAAAATAAACTTAAGGTTTCTAACACAGCCATTTTATGCAAATACATTCAGATCCTTCAAACAAAACACAAGAAACCAAATGAATACATTTAGTTCGTCACATTTATTATTCATTTTATTATCACCATCAAAAGATAAGCCGGTATGCAAAATAGACGTCGAAGGAAAATACTGTAATTTGGACCTTATTCAACATGTACTTAAATACAAATACAGTATGCAGACATGAGAGAAATATAAATACACTGAAAGGTATAATATTAACATGCAAGTAAAAATGAGTTAATATGAGAAATAGCAATCTGGCTTAATATTATGAATGTAATAATGAAAATATATAATCATGATAAAACGACGAAGAGAAAAGACAAAGAGAGTAAAAATGAGGAGAGAGAGAGAGAGAGAGAGAGAGAGAGAGAGAGAGAGAGAGAGAGAGAGAGAGAGAGAGAGAGAGAGAGAGAGAGAGAGAGAGAGAGAGGAGAGAGGAGAGAAGAAAGAGAGAGAGAAAGAGAGAGATAAAGCAGAGATTAAAAAGAATGAGTAAAACATCACGATGACAATAACGATAATAACGATGATGATGATGATGAGAGGAAAAACAGAAATCCACGCCAATCCTTTCCCCTCTGCCCCTAACCCCTCCTCCCCCCCCTCCCCCTCTAGATCACTTTCCGCTGAAGCACCTCACTGCCTCCTCCCCCTCCCCCCTCCTCTCTCACCCCCTCCGAAGAACATCCTCATTAAAAAGCAGTGATTTCTCCCCCCAGGCGCTTCTCTCTCCCCCCCCCACCTTCTCCTCCTCCTTCTTCCTTTTCTCTTCCTAGTCTTCGTCTTCGTCCTCCTTTATCTCTCCTTTCTCCTACTCTATCTCTCTCATTCTATCTCTATTATTATCATTCTTTATTTTTTGTTCTATTTTTTTATCCTTTTTATCATTATCAATTATAATTATTATTCCGCCCATTCCTCCTCCTCCTCTCCTCCCTCCCCATCCCCCCCCTCCCCTCCACACTCCCTCCCCTCCTCCCTCCTCCCCACCACCCCCACTCCTCCCTCTCCTCTTCCACCGCCCTCCCTTTCCGTCCCCTCGCTCCACCCCTCTCCCCTTCCCCACCCTCCTTCCCCCTCTCCTCCCCTCTCCCTGCTTTTCTCCCGCCCACACATTCTCCCGCCCGCCTCGTGTCTCGGGATCACGCTTTCCTATGGCCTCTCTTCCTTGCTATCTCCCTGCTTCATCGCTTCTCTCCTTCTCCTTCGCCGTTTATCCAGCGGCGTCTTGGATTTTTTTTAGGTCTCTCTAATTATTTTATCATTATTATTATTATTCATTTTTATTATTATTTTTTATTTTTTTTGGTTAGTGAGGATATATAAAATATCTTTCTCTCTCTCCCTATATATATACATATATAGACATATAGTTTTTATTTTTTCTTTCTCTTTCCCTTCTCTTTCTCTCTCTCTCCCTCCTCCCTCTCCCTCCCCCTATCTCCTCTCCCTCCCCCTCTCTCGTATTTACATATGCATTTTATAAGAGTACAATACGTATGTATGTATGTATGTGCGCACATACATACATACATACATACTATACACGTGTCTTTATCGTCATGAGCACCTGTTAATTACCATTACTATAATTACACAGAATCGAATGATTTTAATGGTTGTACTTAATCTTCGTTCTCTCACGCAAGGACGAAGAGGAAGAGAGGAAGATAAGATAAAGAAGAAAGAGGGAGAGAGAGAGGAAGAAAAAGAGAAAGAAGAGGAAGAGTGGAAGAAGAAAGAGGAAGAAGAGGAAGAAGAAGTGAGTAAGAAGAGGAAGATAGAATAAGAGAAAGAATAAAGAAGAATAGAGGAAGATATTATTTGTTATCTTATTACCTTCGTACAACTCCATTTCCTATTCCCCCGCCCTCTCTTTCTCTCCCTCTTTCTGTCTCTTCCTCAATCATAAAAAAATCTGGTCACATCTTTCTAACCCTCTCTCCTTCCCAACTCCCACTTCCTTCCCTCTCTCCATCTCCCTCTCCTCCTATCTTCTCTTTCCTCTCCCTCCTCCTCCTTCCTTCCCTCCTCCCTCCTCCTCCTCATCCCTCCTCCTCCCTCCCTCCCTACTCCACCTCCTCCCTTCCCTCCTTCCTCCTCCCTCCTCCTCCCCCTCCCCCCTCCCTCCTCCCTCCCCACCCCCTCCCTCCCGACAAGTCCAACCCAAAACCCAACCAAAGACAGCCATTTCTTTCTACACATACATACACACCGTCGCCTCTAAGAACACAGACGACAGACACACAGAAGGGTATTTAACAGGCTGGCAACGGCGGGGTAACTACAGGGGAACGGGAGAGGGAAGGTGTTGGAGAGAGAGCGTGTGGCCCGGCCTGTAATAGCTTCGCTTTGTTAAGGGTTGCCTTTTGGATAGGCGTTTGGGGGGAGGGGGAGGGGGGAGGGAGTGGACAGTCTGAGGGGGAGTAGGAGGGGGTGGGGGAGTGGGGAGTGGACAGTGGGAGGGGAGAGTGGAGGGGTGGAAAGGGGGTGGGAGTGGACAGTGGATGTGGATTTGGGTGTGAGTGAAAGGGGGTGGACAGTGGGAGGGGTGTGTGGGAGGGGTGTGGAAAGGGTGGACAGCAGGAGGGGGGAGTGACAGTGGGAGGAGGAAGGGCAGGTGAGGAAAGGAGAGCAAAGAGGACAAGAGAGAGAAAGAAAAGGATGCCAGGAGAAAGACAAGACAGAAAGAAAAACAGAAAGAAAATAGAGTAAGAAAATAATCGCAAGAGACAGGAACACAGAGACAGACAGACAGACAAACTAGACAGAGACAAAGACAGACAGAGAGACAGACAGACACGACCACAGCCCCCGAAACACCCTCTATAAAAATGAAGAGACCACCTCTACCCCCCACCCCCCCACCCCCCCACCCTACCCCACCCCCCTCTCTCCCGCCCATCACCCCCGGGGTTGTAAAAGCGTGACGCCCAAATTACCCCTACGGGTTGTGACGTGACGTGTGACCAGGCAAATCCTCTCGGGGTTGTGACATGTGACAAGACTTAACGAGGGTTGTGAGGTGACTTGTGACAGTAAGCAGGTTAATCCCCAGTTGTGACGGCTGACTGGAGTCCTGTCATGCGGGGGGGGAGGGGGGGGGGTCAAGGAGGAGGGAGGGGGAGGAAAGGGTCTGGAAGGTGAAGGAAGGGGGTGAGGGCGGTGGAGGGGAGGAGGGGTCTGGAAGGTGAAGAAGGGGGTGGGGGCGGGAGGGGGGGAGGGGTCTGGAAGGTGAAGGAAGGGGGTGGAGGGGAGTCTGAAGGTGGGAAGGGGAGGGAGGGAGGGGAGGAGGGGGGTCTGGAAGGTGGAAGGAAGGGGGTGGGGGCGGAGGGGGAGGGAGGGGGGAGGGGGTCTGGAAGGTGAAGGAAGGGGTGGGGGAAGGGAGAAGAGGAGGAAGAGGGAGGAAAGGTGAAGGAAGGGGTGGGGGAAGGGAGAAGAGGGAGGGAGGGGGAGGAGGGGGTCTGGAAGGTGAAGGAAGGGGTGGGGGGAGGAGAAGGGGGAGGGATACAAGTCTAAATGCTGGGAGGGGGAGAGAGAAGAAAGGGAATGAAAATGATACAAGAAATAGGAGAAAAACGATACCCCAAAACGGTAAAAAAAAACAACAAGCGGAACAAAGAAGAAAGAAGAAAGAAAAAAAAACAAAGACAGACGGAAGGATACAGCAAATGAGGAGGAAGGAGGGGAGGGAGGAAAAGAGAAGAGGAAAAGGAGGAGAAGAGAGTGATATAGAGGCATTGTTGAGGAAAAGACGGTAAATACATTGATGAATGTGGTAGAGCGACAGAGTTCAGGGAATTAAAATTTTGCTAAAATGAAGTTAAAGGGGCCAGCGGTGACGGGGGTGGGGGGGAGGGGGAGGGAAGGAGGAGGGAGGGAGGAGGAGGAAGGAGGGGAAGGAGGAGGGAGGGAGGAGGGAGGGAGGGAGAGAGAAAAATAATGATTAAGAGAAAGTGAAGGGGTGAGAAATGAAGAAAAAGAGGAGAAAGAAAGAGAGAAAAGATGGAAAAAGAGGGAGGGAGAGCGAGAAGAGAAATAGAAGAAAAAAGAGAAGAGAAGAAAGAAGAAAAAACGAAAGGAAAAAGAAAGAACGAAAGAAAAAAAAAACGAAGAAAAAAAATGAGAAAGAGAGAGAAAAACGAAAAACGAAAAAAAGAAAAGAAAGAAAGAGACAAAACCTTCCCCTTCACCGCTAATCACAGTTATCTCCCTGAGTTACAGCCTCTTTACGCCCTCATCCCCAAATACGAAACAAAAC